AAAAGGGGTGGACCCATTAACACATAAAATGAAAGAAATAACCTTAAAAATTATTATTACTAGGAACACCCGGGAAAATTAAGTGGTTTTCCTATTTGAATTTTCTGATCAATCTTAATTCTTCAGTTAATGATTGAGTAAGCTCATAGCGTGTTCTACGACAATAAAATCTCCGTAGATTTCTCCCTAATATAGGGAGCCCCACAAAAAAAGCGATACCTAAAGTTTAAAATGATTTTTTAAAAGTGAAAAATCTTTCTTAAAGCTTTTATTTTAGTTTTAATTTCTAGCTAATAGAATAAATTTAATATTTCCATTAACGAAAATACTTTTTCTGGATTTCAAAACTAATTTAAATTGACTGGAAAGAGTTTTCATTTTTATAACATACAAAAACATTCAAAATTATTTTTAAAATCTTGGTGTTTGATAATTTTTAATAAGCTTTTCTATTTTTGATTAGTAAATATAGTTTTCACTTAATAATAACATCATCAAAATCGCTGTCATTAATACAGAATTTTAAAAGATTTAAAACAATAAATTTTTCTAATTAAAATTTTTAAAAATATGAAAACAATTTTTGTAAAAATTCATTAATCATCGAAAAATAAAATTTTTTTAAGACAATAGTGTCCATCTTATTTATAAAAGCAATTAAAAGATTTTCTAATTAAATAATGTCATAGTTTGATTTAATTTTTATTTTATTTTACGATGAGGAGCAGATTTTTGGTAAATGATGTTTCTGTTTGACAAAAAACAAATTGATGATTTAAAATCTCAAAGGAATCCTGTTTTTACCTAATATAAATACGAAGATTTTGAAATTTCAATTTCTCAAAATTTGGTAAAATTAAGTAAGTTGGGGGTTAACATGTAAAAACTATTTTTATTAAGATTTTCTAAAAAGAAATATTTCAAAAATAATTTCACTCATTTTTAAATAAGTCATGAAAAATTAATTAAAATCCAACATTTATTTGATTTTTGCAAGAATTTTCAAAACAATGTGTTTTTACTGCACGAAGGGCGATAAATTTCCCAAACTAAAAAAAAGAAAAACAATATTTTTAATCAAAATTTTGGACGTGCTAAAAAGGATTAAAAAAAATTAATAAAACAACCAAAAAATACTTTGGTCTTTCCTCTTAACAATAAAACTTTGTTTTCATCAAGTTTGGGACCATTTTCATCTTGGTATGATCTTTTTTTTTTTGAAAATTTTTGGAGGTACCGACATCATTTCGTTAAATATTTGAGCTTAACAACTTTAACAAAATAATGTAATAACAATAAGTCTGAATGTTGAAGCACTTTGACTTTCTGTAATGATTAGTAAGCTTGTCTCGCTAGATCAATTATGACTGAGTATTGAGTTCGATCCTCGCTGGATGCCTCAAACTCTCGGCCTCGTGCTACATCTAAGCTTAAAATATTTTAATATGAATGTTATTTTAAGAAGACATTTTCTGTTTCACTGAAACAGACGTTAAACACTTTTTTCTTTCATCCCTTCAATCTTTAAATATTTCATTCATTATCATTTTCTCACTGAAACGACGTCGCGTATGCTTTTTGTTCTTCAACGCAGTCAAAACGGAACAGTCCATTATTTATGAGCTATTCGTAGACGTTAAACACTTCCTTTATTTTTCTTTCCATCTTTCTTTTTTCTTCTTTTTTCTATCTATCTATCTATCTATCTATCTATCTATCTATCTGCCTATCTTTATTTATTTCGTTATAGCCAAACCCCTGTCTTACGAACTTACATCTTAACAACGATTTAAAAATAATTCAGCAGACGATGTTATTATTTAGGGTAAGTGGATTGTTAACTATAGATTTAATCGGATTTCCATCATTCGATACAGTGCGTGTAAAAATGGTGCTTTTATCGCCTTTCATCATATTTTCTCAGCCTTTCGTCCGAGATCAAAGTGTAGTATCTGGCTTCGGGCGGATAAACTACATTTCATCTCTCAGTAGTGCCTCTGTATGCGAAATGAGCCCAATTGAAAATGTTATAGAGATTTGCCCGGTCTCGGGAGCCCCCCCCCCCCCGCACACACACACACTTTCGGCAGTACCCATCACTCTCATTGCGCTAAAGAGGGGCTGGTAATAATACTAATGCCAGCACAAGCGCCGGTTGCGGGGGCTGGGCTATTTTGGGACCTGGCCTGGGTGCACGCACATTAAACTGACCTTGTGCCACATCCTGCCAGCGTGGGGCGGTAAGAAAATACATTCGCTTCTCGGACCTATAGCTAAAATCAAAGCGCAGTGTCTGTTCTTATCAGATTATTAATCTGATTCTCTCTATGGTGATTTAAGCCTTAAATAATATCAATACAAGAAGAACACGGAACGCAAATTGAAAGTTAAAAACGAATATTATTGAAGTTCATATATACAAATCCTATAGAAATAATAGTTCTTGTTGCAAACAAATTGTTCTGTTTGCGGCTATATGAAACAATATAAATTCACTTAACTGAAGTCCTTGGTGTTGTAGAATGGTTTCGTTTGTTTACGTATTAATATAGTGCGGCTCTCATGTCAAAGTGCAAGTGGAATCAGAGACGATTTTGACGCCCTGTGCCTGGCAGATCTTGGCAGAAAAGAGTAAAACAAAAAACAAAAAAAAAAAACAGAATAGTGTTTTTTCTAATTGGCGCCAACATATTCTGGCTAGTGATTGGTTGGTTTGACGTTATATGTTATCTTAGAAAGTGCAGTTTACCAAGGGCGACAACTCCCGTAACATATTTTTCTAATAACTTTCTTTTTATTAATTGATTTGGTATTAAGTCACCAGGTCCAATGTTGAAGTTAATCCGGTTTTGTTGACCAAGTGTCTCCTTGTTAGTAAAAGTTTGTTCCAGTGACACATTTTTCGACCCCCAGACTTGTTCCTCTCTGAAGGACGCGGCCCTTGTTTACCCTAGTGATGACCGATCCGGTATATGGTTTTGTTTGTATTTTGATATTTCTATTTTATTTTTTTCGTTTTATCCTTAACCACCAAGGGGTAATTTTGTTCAAGATACCACCTCTAGGACAAGTATCGACCAAAACTAAAAGCTCGTCCTACCACTTAGACATGGCTATTCTTCACCCGATATTTCTAGGCCACGGGGAGTTATTATTGTTATTATTATTTGTGTATGTTATGTTTCCTGTTTTGTATCCTGTAGAGCCGGTTTCAAATTATGGTCCTTAGACCCCATAGGAGAATTGTCATTTAATTGATATCACTTTTCTTAGTATATGGGATGTTCCTAGTAGGGCGATCTTCTGGGCAACTTGTATGATGATGGGACCTGGGACACTGTTAGTAAAATTATCCATTCATTTTCTTACGAGGCCCAGAGCTGCGATTACTATTGGTACAGTCTCAGTCTTCATTCCCCACATCTTGTTAATCTCGATCTCTAGGTCCTTGTATTTGGAAAATTTCTCGATAATTTTCATCGGTGGGTTTCTCATTGATAATAATGTCAATAAGCATGCACTTCCTGAATTTCTTGTCTTTTATGATAATATTAGATCAGTTGGCTTTTATTTCCCTCTCAGTTTGAATTGATATGTCCCAGAGGATAGTTACATCATTATTTTAGGTAACTGAATCTGGTTGGTGCTCATACCATCTCTCAGAGGTTTCGATTCTGTGCTTGCATATCTTCCAGTGCACGTATGTCGCTGTCTTCTTATGTCTGTGGGTATATTCATTTTTTTGTTAGTTCCGGACATCCTGAGATAATATGGCCGACAGTTTCATCATATTTTTCGCAGATTCTATTATTATTATTATTATTATTATTATTATTATTATTATATTTCTTCGCACAGTTTTCTTTTTCACTCGGAATTCTTGAATTATTGGTTCTCTCCATCAAATCGACCTCAGACAGAGAGTAACTTTCTCAGAATATTTGGAGTACTAAGCAACGCAGACTTCTGAAGTGATGGGATACTCGTCTTTATTCCGATTTTCACAGTGTAGCACTTTATGTTCAGTGGTAAAGACAGCAAAGCCGTAATGACAACTAGGACATTAGTGTCCTGAAACATCCACATGCTGGTAACCCCAATCAAAATATCGGTATATTTCTTAAGCTTACCAGTTTCTTTGACCATATTATTATTATTATTATTCGCCAGACATCTCAGCGCGTTTCATTAAATTTGCGTACACACATTCAATCTCTTTCTATCAGCATTTGTAGAATGCAAAATGTAAAACTTTTTTCATCAAGATATCTAACGAAAAGCCAGGACCTAAGGAGTAACTGTTTCATGCCTCGGTTCGTCAGTACAGTTTTTGTGTTGCTTATACCTCCATACGCACGAATGTGGGCCTTCTTAACTGAATATTAATCTGAAAATTTCAATGTATAATGTTTTACCATTTGGGATTAATGGAGAAGCGTTGAATGAAGTGCATTGACAAGGAAGGAGATTCGAAAAATATTTATTGTGGAAAATAGATTTTTTATGCATTATAAGTTTACCGATGTACCTACGTATCTATCTATCTATCTATCCTCCGCTCTGCATATCTAGCTATCGATCTATCCCCTTCATATCTATCTATCTCAGTCTTTTCATATCTATCTATCTATCTATCTATCTATCTATCTATCTATCTATCTATCTATGATGAATTTGAATGCTTCTCGACAATGTTTAACATCGAATCTTAATCTTTCTAATTTCGAAATCGTTATGATATAGATTCCTAAAGTGGACTGTACTTTCCTGGGTGTGGTGGAAAAATACAGGGATCGGTAAGAAAAAAAAACAGTCAGCCAGAGCGTGGCAGTAGCACATCTCAACCATAACATTCACCACACACCCATTGTAACTGAAGTGTATCGTGTCTTCACTTTACGCTGTGTCCCATTTATATAACAATTATTATGGGAAATATTAATATACTCTTGTGACATGCAATATTAGCACCAAGAAAATTCAATCAAAGCTTATCCTCTATGTATCCTTTCCTCTTCGTATCTATCTATCTATCTATCTATCTATCTATCTATCTATCTATCTATCTCTTCATCTCAATCTATCTATCTATCTCTTCATCTCAATCTATCCATCTATCCTCATTATCTAGCCAGCTAGCTATCCTTTTCTCTTCACTTCTATCTATCTATCTATCTATCTATCTATCTATCTATCTATCTATCTTCTTCATATCTATCTATCGGTCTGTCTGTCTGTTTACTGTGACTAATTTAGTTGACGTTTTTCAAAGGTTTATCGGATCTAAACAGGTTCCCTGACCAGTCTTTTCAGGCGAGGGCTATGGCTAAATATCAAGAAGTATTGAAACCAAAACCTGTCTATTGTATTGTCACTATGTTGCACAATATATTTATGCAGCCAGTGTGGTGATGGCAGTTTTTGACAGATGTTACAGTAGACGACTCCTATTATGAATTTGACCATCGATTACTTGTAACAAAACTGATAACACCAGTCAGCAAAATAGCTAGCACCCGTTTAAATAAACTATGAAAGGCGCCCGAGCATAACATCCAAATTAAAAATGAAAAAGTAGGATTAGAATTTTATAGTAAGTAGTCAAGATCGATGTTAAGCTTATGGTCACATCATGTTGAAACACCGATTCCCGTACGATCGCCGAAGTTAAGCAACGTCGAGACTGGTCAGTACCTAGATGGGTGATCGTTTAGGAACACCAGGTGTTGTAAGCTTGGATATGTTGCTGGTGTAATGGATAACGGCTCGGAATTGGAACACTTTTCTCCCCGACTTCCAGTTCTTGTTGGGTTCGTTATATTCACTTAGGCGCAAATACCCTTGAGGGGGGGGAATAATGAAGCCACCTCTTTTCCAACCAGCTATGGGGGAATTACTAAGACTTGTATCCCGAAAATCATTATCTTCTTAAAAAATTCTACAATCTAAAAACATTTTCTGATTTTGAATAACCTGCAAAGTGTTGATAAGTCGTAAAAAACGAATCAATCAGTCAATGCAATACTGATTCGCTACACAGGCATATCTTAGATTTACTTACATTCTCTGCAATACAAATGTATAGAAACTACCATGAACACAAAATGAGGGATAAGTTTATATATTGATTATATTATAGAATTGGACCCCCACTTTATATCCACATTGGAATTTCTTGTTTGTTGTTCAAATTCTGATTAGATATGGATCCACCTATTCTCCCCCCAGCTTTGGGTTCATTAGTAAGACTTTTTACAACTAAACGATTATTAGCTCAAAAAATTCTTACAATGTAAAAATATTTCCTGATTTTAAATAACCTGCAAAGGATGGATAAGCCGTAGAAAACTAATCAATCAAATACTGATTAACTACCCAGGTTTATTTACATTCTCTGGATTATAAATATATAGAAACTATTGTGGCCACAAAGTGAAGGATCAGTTTATATATTGATTATGATATAGACTTGATTCTCCACATTATAATTTCTTCGTTGTTTATCAAATTCTGATTAGGTATGAATCGACCTCTTCCCCCACCTCAATTAATTAGTAGGACTTGTATCAGCAAAGCGTTATTCTTCAGAACATTCTTCCAATCTATAAATATTTTATGGCTTTAAATAACCTGTAAAATGTTGATAGACCGTAAAAAACAAATAAATCAAAACCGAATAGATGTCCCTTAAATCTTGATCAAAACATCACAAAGGAATCAAATAATGTCATCATATTTTCATTAACCGAAGCACGTGAGATCACAATATTCCAAAAATACCTAGAAAGAAAAAAATACTCCGGTGGGACGACAATTCAGAAATGAAAAGATTGATACAAGAAAGAAACAAGCAGAAGAGGAAGGAAAATGGAAGTGAGAATACTAGACGATTTACAAAGAAAATGGTTAATTCTTAGAGAAATCAATATCTAAGAAAAAGTGGAAACGAAATTAATGAAGCAAAGACAATATGTTGAAATATGGAGATAAGCGAAAAATCACAATAACATACAATCGAAACCAACACGGTGGAAATGTCTCGGGTCTCGGTCTAAAAAAAAAACACTTTCAGTCACATTTCAACTCTAGCCACACAAAACTAAAGATACCCTTGGAAATAGAATATATACCAATATACATCAAATCATTCCAAATTTTGTCTCCAACCATAAATGAACCTACTAATGGGAAAACTATAAAAAATACTAAAGTATAATAAAGTATCATTTGACATTTACGCTGAACTTTTGAAAATAGCTTACCTTCTTTCTGAATTCAAGATTCTTAATTCCATAAAAGGAGTTTGGATCCAGAAACATATCTCAAAATGCGTGATTTATGCGTACATTAATATAGTTGTGGGCATGACGATAAACTACATCCGGCAGCAAGTCCTCTGATCGGAGCTTAGAGGTTTTGAGGACTGTGGAACCACCTCTTAATTGCTGTTGTTCCCAAGTCTATCCTGACCCGGAGTGGTAGCACCTGTTAGGGTCCCAGCTATGGGCAAATAGTGAACCTACAATTAAAAACAGAACACTATGAAAGCATAAAAATACATTTTCATATAAAGAAAATTACCAACAATACCTATTTATAGTATATATTTAGTTGAAGCCATAAAATTCTCTTCCCAATATTTAGATTTCAGCATTAAATAACCCATAGAGATTGATATGCCGCTAAACAAAAATCAATTAAACCGTACATTAATGCACTTTGTAACCAAAAAACGTAATCCTCACGACCCTCACATATACAGAGGTATTTCAATTGGATCCATCATAGTGAAAGTATTAATGAACATTATATTAACTAGGCTCTCATCTTTTAATGAATGCCTACTCTTCACGAGCCAATTTGGTTTTCGTTTTGACAAGGGACATAAGGATGCTCTATATGTCATCAAAGAACTCTAGGAAATTGCATACCTCTCTAATAGGAAATTGTATATCTGCTATGTCCACCTGACTGCAGCATATGATTAGGGGTTAGCATATGGTTAGGGGTGTAATGACATATATACCATCAATTTCAGCACATTGCATACCTCTCCAACAGAAAACTGTATACTTGCTATGTCAACCTCACAGCAACATATTGCCACATCAATAAATACTTCCTCTTTTTATCCGTCGCCCAACATCGCAAATTGCTACAAAACCCAAACATTAACCTCAAAACTCGAGACATGATTTAAATAGCCTCGTCAGATCGAAATTTTCTGCATTCCACTCAAAAATATCTAAATTGTCAGCTGATACGACTGCTTTTTCAGATTCAGTTATGTGCCATGCGTGATATGCGCTTAGGCGATTATGTTTTTATCGATACATGACTGACGAGGCAATTTTTTGCCATTTCTTTCTGTAGCAGACCAGTTGCCATCCAAGACTGTAGAATCCGGTCTGTCCTGCTATTTATCCATACCTGGGAGAAGAAGAATTGGATCCATACCTTTCCCAAGGGTGTTAGCACGTAAGTGAATGTAATGAACTCGACTGGAATTCGAACTCGGTTCTCCGATTCCTCAATCCGTGTCGCTATCCATTACTCCTCACTTTTTCAGATTACTGGTTTGAGCGAAGGAAGTCTGTAGGTTTTAGCGAGGACCAATTTCTTCGAACATTGTGAACTGGCACAACAGAATCATAAAGAACTTTACCAAATAACAGGAACCACTTGAGGACTTTCAACAGCGGTAACAAATAAAATGGATTGCTCCTTTAATTCGAACAGAAAATAATGATAGAATGAAGATGTTGACATTCCACACTATTTCAAATTTTTTTACAATCCAGAATATGTTTCTGCTTTAAATAACCCAAAAAGGGTTGAAAAATCGTAAAAACGAATGAATTAATTAACCTCGTATTGCCTCACTAAAAATGTTCAATAAATCAGTTGAGAAGACACGTCCTTGTCTTATGTATCTTTCTATTTTTGGGTGACTAAACAATTTATTTTTTATTTGTAAGTAGGTGGGTTACTCCCATATCAGTTCTGATTTTTTTTTTTACTAATATTAACCTAACACACGACCAAGAGCCACTCAAAGTAGACTGTTACAGGGTGGAGTTATATTAGCAGAGGGAAGGACAAGTGTTAGGAGTATAGAACTGAAGTCGACTTTAGAAGGAACCGGAAACGCATCTTTCTCAAATAAAGTTTTCCTAGCTGTTCAAATAGATCTTTGTACCGTACTTTATCATGTTTTTGCGTAGTGTATGAAGCATAACTCCTTCTGCATTTGTATTGCTCTCGCCGATATCATTCTGATAATAAATATAACATTTATTGTTCCAGTGTCTTTGACAAAACCACATTAGTCCTGTTTCCGGTTTAATTCCGCCACGCGCTCTATTAATCAAAGTTCGGGTGATATGTTTAATTATGGAGCTCATTGACATAATCCAGATGTTGACATTCCACACGACTTCAAATAAAAGGTTAGGAAGGAAACTCCTATCATTATTGGAAAGAGCGAAAAATGAGTGGACTTGAGAAACCTATTTTCCTAAAATTGTTTTAAGAGAAAGATTTTATAAATTCCAACCAATACTAGCACTGGTTGTTCGGTCAGTGAATACCATTCACCTGTTCGGACTTTTACAGCTAACTGCCATACTAATTTGAACCGTACTAATTGCTTTCATATACTATTAGTAGAAAGGAAGTTCCATTCGAAAATTCCTCCCAAGAACTTCTGCTTTGGGGGAACAGAGTCCCAAAAGATGCTTTTCTGATCACTACAATCTAAACCGCTTCAAAAGCAGGGTCAACAGTTATCTATTCTATATATTCTCATAATCTGCATTGTTACCTCCTATTACTTCCAAAAAATCTCATTTAGTAACTTTCTACCTTGAGTGGCTCTTAGGCCTTGTATTGAATTAATAATAGTGTATAATATATACATACTTATAATCCATGTGAATATTAGACTAATGTTGCAGAAGATTGACTGTTTGGGTGTCTGCTAATCTGTAATCTTCATTGTTATGCATATACGGATGAAGAAAAACATGTGCATGTACGTACGAAGGAAGTCCCCCCCCATCTACAAGCCTTTAACAAAACGTTTTTTTTTTTTTTTTTTTTGTTGTTGTTGTGGTGGTGGTGGTGGTGGTGTTGGTGTTTTTTTTTTTGTTTTTTTTTAATACAAAATTGTAATACAAACAATTGTATCTTTAAAAAGAAAATTAAATCCAAAATGTCGGTGCTGGTAACTGTATGTTTTGTTGTTTTTCTTTTTTTTTTTTTTTTTTTTTTTTTTTTTTTTTAATACAAAATTGTAATACAAACAATTGTATCTTTAAAAAGAAAATTAAATCCAAAATGTCGGTGCTGGTAACTGTATGTTTTGTTGTTTTTCTTTTCCCTTTTTTTTTTTTTTTTTTTTTTTTTTTTTTTCATTCGCCCATTTTTCTTATTTTCTGCCTCTGTTTTTCTTTCTTTACGTTCATTCGCTATTGTTAAAATTACTTTTTCTTTTTTTCACCGTCGCCTTCTACTTCTTTGGGATGCGTCACGGCGGAAGTTGCTTCTACGAGTTTCGTTCTGGAGTGTCTCTTCAGTTAATATGGCGATGCAGCAGCATCTCTTGGGAATGGTACTTGTTAATTCAATAACAAGGGGAATGTCAACCACCCACAATTTCCTCAGTCTCCTCAGTTACTCACCCATTCAAGAACAGTCTCCCCCCACCTCTTTCTCTCTCTCTCTCTCGCTCTCTCTCTCTCTCTCTCGCTCTCCCTCCCTCCCTCCCTCTTTCTCACTCTCGTGCGCCACCTGGTGGCACATATCTTGTGCCCTCATGGCAGGGTCAATTCGTTCAGTAGCTACAAGCAAATATGTTCTTGTGTGACTCGCGCATTCTAAATATTTCTGTTTTATAAATATTTTATCTTTGTATAAAGTTTTCTAATTTTCATTAATATATTTATTTATCGAAGTAAATCGTTATATAACCATTTGCATATTTCTGCTTATAAGTGTGTGCCTCCAGATAAAATAAGTGTATACATAAACCCAATACACACACCCATACACACAAAAACACACACACGCACTGTGTGTGTGTAAATGTGTGTGTGTGTGTGTGTATATGTAAATATGTGTGGGCGGGTGTTTCCAAATTAAAATCTCTTAATTGCTTAAATGATTTTGTTTACGTTACATGATAGGAAAATATAATTAGCAGATGAGGATAAAGTTTCAATGAGACATATCCATAATATAAAAGTGTAATTGCTATTGAGACCGCTTTTACCGGGCGGTTAAAGCACGCCTGGTATAAAGGTGGTTTTTAACGATAAAGGAAATGCAAATTCGATCCTTGTCGATGTTAACATTTTCTTTCTAAGCCGGTGGACATTAATTTCAATGTTAAAAAAGGACAGGGTTTAGGAATGACAAGAAAAACATTACTAAGAATTACAAAGGACAGGAAATTGTGGAGAGCCATGATCGCCAACGTCCTGAAGAGATACGTCACTTAGAAAAAGAAGATGTCCACAACACATGTATGCACTAAAATAACGTTTGTAATTAGTATATATGATTTGAACAGCCATCATTCTCTGATGTTTAACCCCAGGTAATACTTCTCCTTGGGGAGGAGGCTGGGTCATTATCCGGGGCATGATGCGTCCCCAAAACGTGGCTTCCCTCTGTTGTTTCTACAAATATTTTAATGGCAACTTCTCTGACAAGCTTTTTGCTCTGATGCGCCTACTACATAAATTTAAGCGTGCTACTAGACTGGCAACTAGGTCCACATATTAACCTCTAGCAGGGTGGGTGAGAGATGGATACATCCTTTTCCAAAGGTATTTGTGCGAACCTCTAATCCAACTTTCCGCACCAGTACCTACTAAGCTATGCACGCATGCATGAACGGACTTTAAACGGCCTTTTAAAAAAATCTACGTCAAAGAAATTTGCAGATAAGAAACATTCGGATGAGTAAATTTGGCGCACGAAGTTATAGATTTGATATGCATTTGATTCCATCTTTATTTTCTCTGACAACAATACAATAATAAGCATATCATTCCAGAAAATGAAGCATGCTTTATTTTGGGAGAAGGTAACTTTGATTTGTATTGGTAACGGCAATGTTTAGATTAACACTTCCTTCGGCATTCATTGACCAAACAGTTGTTGTTTGATGAATAATTTTATTCTATCAGCTAAACGTATACGCGATTCTTAGTCAAATTATTAAGTTGATGCAAAAGTTTTCAACGCCATCTTTCGAAAATATTAGAGAAATCTATATATAAAATTCTGTAACTTCTGTTACTCCGTCCGTCCGACCGTCACACCTTCTAAAATAGCTATAAACTGACCGATCGAAACCAAATTTTGGGGAGAAATACAAACAAGTAATGGGGATACAACGTGCAATTGCTTTTACTAGGGTATGTAGCATAGTTCAATAAATTTTCATTAATGTTTTTGGAAAATTTAAAGGTTTTATTATTTAACATACAAAATGCTCCCACTACTTTAGAAACAATTTAATGAATAAAATAACAAATACTTATTTAATAAAAATGTAATATTGTTTGTTGCATATCTTTTAAGTTTTTATATACAAGAATCCAGTTTCCAGTTCAACTCGCGTTTGCAAGAACTATAAAAATATCACATGGCTTCACAAAGTTGGAATTTGCCTCCAGAAAGAAATATTTACACATGGCCAGTTGTATGTTGCATGCTCAAGAGTAAGAAATCCTAAGAATTTATTCTTCGCTAAAAAAAAAGAAATTTTCTTAAAAAATATTCTTAACTATGAAGTCCTGTAAAATTAAATTAAAGAAATTATTAAACTGCGAACTTGGGTTTTGTCAAAGTATTTTTCCAAACAAATCAGCTTATTCAAATTTCATCAATTGGTTTGTGAAATTGAATGAAACGTAGAGTTTGTAAATCTCAAGAAAAATGTTAGCGATTAACTTCAACAATACTAAAGGATTCCAATACGTGTCACAGTGTTGCAGAAAATTCTAGTATTAGAAACTTCTTTGACATTTAGCTCATTTATACTTGGACAATCAATCAACTACAGAAGCTCTTTTATAAACCATTGCAAAATACAGAAAGTAAAAAGAAAATTTTTTGAATGTAATAGTTCTTCTTCACTGTGTCATGTCCTTTCAGGATATTGGTGATCATGGCTCTAAACAATTTCCTATCTTTTGTAATTTTTAATAAATGTTGTTGTTCTATTATCTCTCCTAAACCTTTCGTCATCCATTTACTTAACTTCGCCCGATAGTTTATAGGTTGTTTTCCTTTCCCGCTTTCGCCTTTAATCGGTCCTGTGAGTATCAAATTTTCCAAGCCCTCTTTCTTTCATTATGACCCCTAGCAATTTCAACCGTCTCTTCCTGATGATAATCCTTTTTGTTTCCATTTTCTCTAAAACTTCTTCGTCGCTCACATGTTCAGGTGCATGTTATTCTCAGCATCTTTCTTTAGGACCACAATTCTGTTGTCTCAAGTCTCTTCTTCGCCTGTGAAGAGATTGTCCAGCATTGACTGGCATATAGGTGGATTGATATTACATAGCAGTTCAGCACTCTTTGTTTCTAACGATTTTTTCTTTCTCAAAACCTTGCTTAGCTTTTGGAAGGCGTCTTTCGCTATCCCAATGCGCCTTCGTATTTCAATGTCGCATAATAGCCTTGAAATAGATACCCTACTCAACCTTACCAAAACCTCTTAGAAGATGATGAATCTATTGATAAGAATTAACTTTCTGACCACTTAACGAAAGAAAATAGTCTAGCCACTCCCACAATAACGAATTCTGTAACAGACCGGGCCTAAAAAATACACGTAAACCGACAGATAGCTTATTCCTAAAATTTCGCTTGAAGATGAAACGGGACTAAACACCACAATCCACCTTAATTTTAGTAATTATTTGGATTTTTCGGCTCTCGTTTTTGAAACATGAGAACTCTTATGTAGCGAAGGAATCATATTTTTAAACAAAAAATATTATTATAATATAAGCTCTACTTCTGTATGGAGCACTGTCTTCTTAAAAATAAAAACAAAAAATACTAAGGAACCCCGGATTATGCACCCAACGTGTTCTTTTCTATTTTCTGCATACCTACGCACTTAAGTACGCCACGCGTTGCTTTCCCTTGTCTCTCTTTACCTCTATTCGACCTGTCAGTATCAGATTCTGCAAGCTCTCCTTTTTCATTATGTGTCCCAGAAATTTCAGCTACCTCTTCCTGATGTTAAATATGTTTCCTCTTTATTTGCATCCTCTCCAAAACCTCATCGTTGCTCACACGATCGGTCTATGATATCCTTAGCATCCTTCTGTAGAACCATATCTCCGTTGCCGCTTCATTTTTGCGAAGATCGTCCAACATTCGCTGCCGTAAAAGAGGACAGATGTCACGTCGCAGTTCGGTACTCTTTTCTTTGTTACCAACGAAATCCTCTTGTCTCGTAATACGATGTCTAGCTTTTGGAATGCGTCTTTGGCCATCCCAATACGTCTTCGGATCTCAGCGTTGCATTTACCGTCCTCTGTCAGAACACTTCCCAGATATTTAAATTTCCGCGCCTGCTTGATTTTAGTGTCTCCGACCTGTAAACTGCATTTCGGGCTCATCCTTTTAATGATGAACATGCATTCTGTCTTCTTGTAGTTTATGGTTAGTCCCTTCTTCTCTCTATCCTTTGCTACCTTCTGTAGGACGTTTTGTAGTTTCTTTTCCGTGTCTCCTATCAATACTGTGTCTCATATCAGTACTGTGTCATCTACGTATCTTGTGTTGTTAAGATTGTGGCCATCAATGATGAATCCCGATAGGATTTCCATTTCTCTCAGAATTGCCTCGCTGTATAGGCTGAATAAGTCCGGTGAGAAGACACATCATTGCCTTACGCCCCTTTCTATTTTTGTATATCTGCTGAACTCATTCTCTATCCGAATGCATTCCGTTTGCTGCCAGTATAGATTCTTGATTATTCTAATATCTTTCCCGACTATACCAAAGTTGCTGAGCAGTTCCAACAGATCTTTGTAACGTACTTTGTCGAACGCCATTGCGTCGTCTATAAATCACAGGTACACGTTCTTCTGGATTTGTATCGCTACAGCTGTTAAATAACGAGAGATTCAATATGAGAAATATTGAATCGACTGAGACCATCTCGATGAAAGGGTTTATGCAAAATCATGGCGATTAAATTTATCTTTGCCTATTTAAAATTAAACAGCAATAAAATATTTCTGGACATGTTATACTGGATGCATGTCACGATTATCTTCGCGGAAAGTGAATTCGTCGAAGCGAGTTCAAATTTTGTTCGATTCTGCTTCGTTCACTTCACTTGAAAAGGGCTTGAAAAATGTTCCTCTACCTATGGGTTAAATAGCAGGCTAGACTGGACTCACTTGATGGGGCAACCAGTTTAGTAGAAGGACAACTCTTAATTCAAAACCAGTCTGAAGAGGGATGAGCTCCGTCAAATCTATCTTGCCTTAGACACACTACTACTGTGGCGGCTGCAGTACATAGGGTGCTTCTACGACCTTAATTGATTGCTGGACTTGTGATGACCTTTGCACTCACTTTTTTTTTTATACTTCTTCTCCCTCCTCCTTACCTCGTTTCTCCTACTCTTTTTTCCTCCGCCTTGCCACTCCTTTATTTTTCTTTCTTTCTCATACTAAATTAGCTTCTCTTTCCATCATCACCATCATTACCATCATCATCCCTTTAATTTTTCATCTTGCCCTCCACTTCCTCCGTCTACATCTCCCCCATGCTTCTCTTTTCTTTCTTTTCAACTTGCAGTCGGATCGATAATCTACGTCCACCCTAAATTCCTCAAGTGATTCTTCCACTTGACTTCTTTTTTCTTTCTTTCTTTCTTTTCATTTTTATTTCCTCTTGTAAAATTTCGCTTTCTGACGAATCGACCTTTGACCGCGACCAGTTAACCGAAATTTGCTTTAACTGTCTTTTAATCGTTCCATTTCAACAGTTGATGAAGTGGGCGGAAGAACCCATAGCCTTCCAAAAGCAATGACCGATTTTTCCTTCATTTTATTCCATTTGGTATCCTATCAGAATCTTATATTTCTTTTCTTTCTTCTTTTGAATATTCTCTTTGCATGTCGATTATTATTATTATTATTATTATTATTATTATTATTTTGTGGGTGCGGATTCAGATTTAAAGAAAAGGATTTATTAAAGAGAATAAAATTTCAATTATAACTATTTTTACTTGTTTTCCATTTTATTTGAGAAGAGTGTAAACATTTCATATTTTCATCATAATTAAAATAAAAATTGTTTTTTTGTCTTAACTGATATAATCATCGTCGTCATCATCGTCATCATCATCATCATCATCATCATCATCATCGCCGTCACCTTAATTGCAATCATAGTTACTCTATTACAATTGTGATGTCGTTGCTGTTCTTTTTTATTATTATTGTTGTTGTTGTTGTTGTTATTATTATTATTATTATTATTATTATTATTATTATTATTATTTCTCTTTTTCTCTTTGAGGGTTCATGTCAGTCGTACGTTGTGGCTTACACTGTAACGAGTTTCCTCAATAACTCATCACTTTTATTATTGAAATTTTTATCATAATCATTAATTTATGATTATTGTATTTCCATTCCATTATCATTATTATTATTATTATTATTATTATTATTATTATTATTATTATTATTATTATACCCTTGGGAAAGGTATGAATCCAACTCACCTTTCCCAGCTACGGATAAATCGTAGGCAGACTGGGTTCTATGGCCTTGTGTGTCAACCGCTCTATTAGAAGGAAAACTCTGAAAATAATAAAAAACTATATACAGCCCTGGCGAAGAACATACAATGCAGCTAAAGAAAAAGATTGAGTAGCACGCCAACAAAGAGACGCTGGGGTACAAGTATCCTTTTTCTATCTGTCATGTCTCGTCAATGCGTGGATGATCATGAGCCTCCACAATTTCCTCTGCTTTGCAACTCTTAGCTATGTTTATCTTTTTGCACTCTCTTTTAATTCTTTTTCTGACAACCATTCACAAAAATTTCTTTAGATAAGTTATTCGCTCGTCCTGGGTATGACGATAAACTTCATCCGGCAGCAAGGCCTCTGATCGGGAGATTAGAAGTTTTAAGAAGCGTGAAACTATCACTTAATTGATGTTGTTTCCAGTTCCAGGGTGGTAGCACCTGTTATGTTTCGTACTATAGACCAATAGTGAACCCCCCTGCCAAACAGTACATTTTTATAATAAAATGACCAACAATACGTTTTTATAGCAAAATGAAAATCAATTAAACACTAAAAATATATAAAAATACATTTTTATAGTAAAATTACAAACAATACATTTTATGATCTACAAAATATGTATCCAAAAAAACATACCTTTACTCTGTAGGTTTAAAATTATGAACAAAATATCTGTAGTTGAAGGCATAAAATTATGTATAAAATATTTCGGCATCAAATAACTCATAGAAGTGTTGATATGCCGATAAACAAAATCAAGCAACCAACATACTTTCTCCGCTGCTTTCCTCTGTCCTTCTTATATTCAATGTCCTATGAGTGCCAAATTTTCCAAGCCCTCTTTCCTCATTAGCTGCCTTAGAAATTTCAACTGTCTTTTTCTGATTCTAAAATATAAGTGGCTTTGCTGTTTCTGTTTTTCCCAAAACTTTGCCGTTGTTCCGTCGATGGTATTCTCAGCATTCTTTTGTAGAACCTCCTTTTTGTTGTCTTAAATCTTTTCTTCACCTGAGAAGATATTGTCTAGAATTCACAAGTATATAGGAGGACTGATATTATATAACATAACTCTTTTCTTTGTTTCTAATGACATGTTCCTGTTTCTTAATACTTTGCTTAGATTTTAAAGGGCATCTTTCGTTCTCTGATTCCGCTGTCATCTGTTAAAACACCTCCTAGATATTTAAATGTTTGTACATTGGTGTCTCCAATTCGTCGTTTCTATCTTGGGTTGTTCCGTTTACTGAACAATCATATATTCTATCATCATACAGTTGATGTTTCTTACTTTCTTCTTGCTTTACCCCACTACCTTCTGTAGGAGTTCCTGTATTTTCCTTTCTCTCCTTCCTATCAACACCGTGTCATCTGCATGTTTATGTTCTTAAGATTCGAATTTTAAGATATCCACCGTAACACCCAGATTGATTATTATTATTATTATTATTGTTGTTGTTGTTGTTGTTGTTATTTTATTTCCTTTGGTTTCTGGTGTGTACTCTTCTTTCTGGGTCCTGACCAGAGATCTAAATTCAGAAATTTTCCACTGAGCAATTTTGAAAAAAATGTCGCACATATTTTACATAAAGCCCTTTGTAAGGCGTGGGCTGTACTTGTGAGTACAATTCTTTGTATTTATTTAAGGTATTATTATTATTATTATTATCTTCTTTCACACAATTTTCGTTTTCAATCGAATTATGAATTCTCTCTCTCGTACGGCCTCAGACAGAGAACACCTGTTATTATTATTATTACTATTATTATTATTTCCTTTGATTTTTGTTGGATACACATTTCCTCCCGGTCCCCCACCAGAGATCTAAGATCAGAAATGGCTTCATTACATTTTCCACTGAGCACTTTTGTACAATAAAAAAAAAAAAAAAACAATGTTCATACACATTTTACATGGATAAACCCTCTTCGTAATGTGTGAGCCATACGTGTGAGTACAATTGTTTGTATTTATATTATTATTATTATTTCAATTCCTTTGATTTCTGGTGTATACTCGTTTCTTTCCGGGTCCCAACCAGAGATCTAAAGCCAGAAATGACATCATTACATTTTCCACTGAGCATTTAAAAAAAAAAACATAGATAAAGTCCTTCGTAAGGTGTGAGCTGTACTTGTGAGTACAATTCTTTGTATTTCTTTAAGGCTTGGGCTACCAGGAATCCCTTCAATAAATCTTATCGGAAACCTATTATTATTGTATTTCTATTATTATTATTATTATTATTAGTAGTAGTAGTAGTAGTAGTAGTAGTAGTAGTAGTAGTATCAGTAGCAACTTCTTTCGCACGATTTTCGTTGTCAATCGGATTATGGATTCTCTCTCTCGTACGACCTCCGACAGAGAACACCTGTTGTTATTATTATTATTATTATTATTATTATTATTTATTTTATTAATGCAGTTTTATTATTATTATTTGTAGTAGTAGTAATAGTAGTAGTAGCAGTTATAGTAATATTTCTACTTTTAATTATTCCTTCTTTAATGGCATCATCATCATTTATATGATTATTATTATGACAACGTTTAGAATTTTTATCGATGATGATGATCATGTTTCTGCTGCTGATTATTATTATTATTATTGTGTTTTTTGTTGTTTTTTTTGTTTGTTTGTTTTTTAATCATCGAAGTTTCTTGATTCATTCTCGCTTATCGTCATCATCATGGTCGTCACCGGTATTTTCCTCGTGTTCTTGCTCTTCTTCTTATCATCAGCATCGGCAGCAGAAGCGACAAGGAAATGTCTCGTCATGTAATCTTTATCTTTTCTTCTTCCTTCTTTCGTTAACCCTTGAGAAGCCGTCTCGTCCGCTTGGCGGATTCCGCTTGAGTTGAGCTGCTTTAATCGAATGATTCGTTGCCAAGGAAACTGAACCACTCACACTCTGCACTCACACTCAAATTCACTCAAACAGGCTTTGCAAAAGAGGTAGGGCTGGGGTACGGGAGGGACGATGGCTAGCAGAGTTAGGAAGCGGAGAGCAAGGAGAGGTGGAAGAGACAAGTAGCGGAAGGTCGGGTAATATCAGCTGACTAACAATCCGGAGCGCTCTTCTCATGTTGGGTTAACATGGTTGGTTAGTATATGGGGAAGCAGATCAGTGCCCTTCAAACGGTCGCTGCTGCCCCGTGTGTCACAATGATCTGCGAAGAACAGGCATCATGTTCGCATTCTTCTAAAATCTCGTCACAGAGCTGAAACCATGCATTCCTAAAGGTAGGAAAGAGGAAATCGGTCGATATTTAAAAAGAGCTTTTATTCTACTTATATTTTGAATGGATTTCTACACGTAGTCAACCTTTTTTCTTTTTCTTTTTCATTGAACTGCACTTGACTGCACCGCATCAGAAAAGTCGTTGATCTTGTTTCTTCGATTATCTGTTTCCACAATCAAGTCTGAAGTTAGATAAGAACGCTATCAAAAGTGTCTATATTCTTAGTCGATTACATGTGACCAACATTTATTTGCTTATGCTAATCTTGATAATTCAAACATGAATAAAAGAGCTATTAATTTTACGGTAGTGTTCCTGATGCTTTATAAATAAGTGTCCCAAAGAAAAGCGATACCTAAAGTTTAAAAGACATTTTTAAAACGAAATATCTTTCTTAAAGCCTTCATTTTAGCTTTAATTTCAAGCTAATATAATAAATTTAATATTTTTAATAAGCAAAATACTTCGCTGTATTTCAAACTGAATTCAAACTGAATTTAATTGATTGGAATGATTTTTTATCTGTAAAAACGCTAAAATCGTCTATACTGACAAATCTGTCAACACAGCGTAATTCTTATTATTCAATCTTTCAAAAATAAAATATACTTTTCTGAAAATAAAATATACTTTTCTGAAATTTTATTTGAGGAAAGTTAGCTGACTTAAAGTTTAATTAATTCGTCTTTAAAAAATATTACTTTTAGTTTTAAATATTGCAGAAAAGCATTTCAAACACAGAGATGGTTGTTTTTATGATGTACTGACAACTTTCTCGATAGATTTACGTTTGGGAATTTATTGTAATGGGTCATAACTGTAACAATTAGATGACGAATATAACGTGAACACCTTATTTAACTACCCAGTAATCTTAAAAAACTTAGGGAAATAATCTAAGAAACCTAATATTTTATTGAATTTTAGGTACTTTGGCTTTATAGTTTAAGTTACGAAGACGCTTGTCGGGGAAATGTAAGAAAAATTATCAATAAATTTTAACTTTGCTAGTTACAGCTCTTATTATCTGACGTTTAGCATCCGTATTTACAAAAATTTAACATTGAGAAAATAAGTGCAAAACATTAGAGGAAACGAAAATTGATTTGTCCTCTTTATTGCGTTTCTATTTTGAAATTATAAATAAAAAACGACAAAAAATAATGAAAAAGAATTTCACTGACAGAAGGGCAAACATGTGCTTCATAAGTATCATATTAATTCACTCTCATTTACGACAAAGCAATTCTATTTACAGCATCGTATTCAACTTGAAGTCACTTCCTACAGTTTGAAAGTAGACAACAAATTATGAATAGCGTTATAATGGTTCGTTACGAATAGAAAAAAAGGTGAATAATCGCCAATGACAAACTGACAGACGCGCACTTTACCTTACAAATCTATGCGCCATTTTTGAATTCTTTATTTATATTAGTAATTATGGATTAAATCATTTGTTCAACCTCCATCTTTTTGATTGAGACAAGAATTGAAAATTATTAGTATGAACACTTCATTAGTTTCCCTATGATGGTTACTTTCAACAAAGCTGTTTATTATAACTTGTGATATTTCAAAACTTTCATTCACTTTAACGATTACATAAACAAAGACACGGCAAATTCCGATGAGAAGGTAAAAAAATATTGAAAGCCGAATCATGGTTGTATTTTAAGGTCAACTACATTTGAACCTGACAGATGTAAGTGAAGTTTTGATTTTCTTATCTCTACCCACTCACTTTACCACTAATCCTACTTTGCTATACTCATTTTCTGTATTAAGAAACTAAATGGATGATTAAGCACTGAAGTGTTCGATTTTAACTTGAAATGTTTAAATTGAGCATTTAAAATACGGAAGAAATGAAATGCTAGTGGTCAGGAATTAATGAGATCATTCCTAACACTCTGAGACGATAAATTCTCTATTACCTAACAGCAGGAATGTGCAAAGTCAACAGAATATCTTTACCTGTTTACAAATAAAACACAAAGTCATTCATATCTTTTAATAATAAAAAAATGTATCATGTATATATTTGATACTTATTTAGACATTGATAAGTTAAAAAGGATGAGAATAACAATCTTAGTGAAATACATTAATTTCCCTCTGCCTTTTCCGTCTTCTCTAAACGACGGTAAAAAATTGTTTGTGGCTAAATACTGGCTATAACAAATATATTAATTTATTATTAATTTTTAATTCAGTGAAAACCTTCATCGTTAAAAATATTCATTTCGCTTTTTCATTTTCTGAACGACTGCCGTAGGTTGTTTGTGGCTAAATACTGGCTGTAACAAGTATCTTCCCTTCGCTACCATTTATTTTAGAATTTCTTTTTTTTGATTATATAACGGCATATTAACTCCTTATGGGTCATTTTATGCCGAAATCTAATTTTCTTGGGAGCTTTGAAGTAATAAAAATATGATACATGTTATTCTATTTTCACAATTAAATACATGGTAGAAGATGCTCAGCTTTTATGCATATGTTGTAGGTTTGTTGAAGTTATATTTTGGAATACAGTTTGATTTCTTTAAAAAATTGTAGGATATTTTATGAATTAATGTCATAAAAGAGTTCTTTCATAAAAGAGTTGGTTGATTTTGATTAGCGGCATATCAACACCTATATGGGTTATTTAATGTCAAAATCTAAATATTCTGAACACAATTGCCCACCTTCAACTACAGATAAAATGTACTGCTGGTAATTTTTACTATAAATATGTATTTTTATACTTTCATAGTGTTTTGTTTTTGTTTGGTGGGGGGTCACTATTAACTTGGACTCCGGGTCAGGCTGTTTCTGGGAACAACATCAATTAAGAGGTGGTTCCACGTTCCTCAAAACCCCAGTCTCCCAATCAGAGGCCTAACTGCCAGATGTAGTCTATCGTCATGTCAAGGACTCTATTTTAGAATCACTTACTATTAATTTTTGATATAGTAATACAAAAAAATTTCAATGAGAGGTTTTTGGCTGGAATACGTATGTTTTTGGCTTTATTAATTGGTTGTGTTTTGAAATGGCGTTCGTTATTTCTCGTCTCTGATTGGTTGTGACACAAATTCGAGCAAATTGGTTACGCCTGACCTGAGTATTGGCAACATAGTTATAAAAATGACTTGGAACAAGAGCGATATTTGCAAATACGTTTTATTTGATCTTCAAGGAGAATAATGCAACTTAAAATAAGTAATGTTTTCTCTTTGTAAATTTAGCTCTAATTATTTTGTGTTTAGTGACTCTTAAGATTTTTTTTTACTTTAAGAAACTTTACGTTTTTAAATTTGAAACCATATAATAATTATCAATGTGTATTTATTTATATATTTCCAGTCCCATCTGTAGATGGAAGAGAGGTAAATCAACTAAAGTTAGTAAATTTATGAAGGATTACTTTCCCTTCGTCGTTTTAATAATATATGCAAATAAAATATTTGTCTACATTTATACAAAATTAGTTGTCTAGTTCAATTAACCTTTTAATTAATCAGTTCTTATGTTTCTTAGATTGCAGTCTTATTTGTTCAAGGCTTTCATGTGAGGCACTCGAACACCTTTGTCTATTAATTGATCGTCTTGCTCATGAAATAAGCTTTGTTGTCACCGTTTTTGCCATTCTGTTGCTAATTTATTTTCGAAAGAGAAATGGAAATATCTATTTACTTTTCACTGTTATATTAAACACATACATTTTTAACATGAAAAGATATTGAGCAAAAAACGATTTCTATAATACGAGGTGTAATCAATGAACCATAAATACCATTGAACGTCGAAAATTATAAAGGCAACGGATATAAATTGGCCTCCATTTTATCTCCGCTTTATTGAATCTCAAAACATTGTTTCAAGATTTTTTTCATTGGATTTCACTATTAAAACTGTCTAACAATTGCCGTCATTTTGACGGCAGGGCTACACTAGTCATATTATAATTCTGTTTGTCTCTGCATTTGTTAGGACTGTAGTTGGCGCATGTGTTACGCCCTGCTGTTACCCTCAGATAAATAATGGAATATTCCATTTTGATTGCGACGAGTGCCGAAAGAAAAAAGATATATCAGAGACTCTACTTGGTTTCAATGAAAAAGAAAGAAAAAGAAGGCGAAAGGGCGTGTAACATCTACTTTAGTAAAAAAATTTTAAAAATTTCAATTTTAATTGATTTGTTTTTTACGGTTTATCAACCTATTGCAGGTTATTTAAAGCCAGAAAATATTTTTAGATATTAAGAATTTTTTGAGATAATGATTTACTGATACCGGTCCTACTAATTAACACATTCGCAAGTAAGTGAATAAAACAAACCCGAATGAAACTGGAACTCAGTTCTCCAATTCTTATCCATTACACCACCAGCACACCCAAGCTTACAGCACCTGGTATTCCCAAACGGTCACCCATCAAGCTACTAATCAGGCTCAACGTTACTTAATTTCGGTGATTGTACGAGAAAAGGTGTCTCAACCTGATATGGTCGTAAGCTCTCTCAATTTTGAAACTTTTCTTTATATCCTCTTACTTCTTTCAATATGGACCTGCATTCATATGATTTTTATTGCAATATTTTGTCAAAGTTATTAACTCAAATATTTAATGATACAATAGGGTAATCTTCAGGGTTATTTTATGGTCGTGGGTCTCACCATGAATTTATTTAATCATTAACTAAAGAATTATGATTCATCGGAAAATTAAAATGGGAAAGCCGTGAACATTTTTCACGCGTATATTTATTATATATTATTTTGAACACGGGTATATTCTAAGCGTGGGCAGTAATCTGGGCGAATACACCATTATGTATGTATTGAGACTTGATTATAGATGATTGACGCTTACATAAGATTGTCGAGACAATTAGGATTAAACTGCGAAAACTCTTTTAGGCAAAAGGGGAGCATTGTACGTTCTCTTCTTTTAGAAGAATATTGATATTTTGTCTCCTCTCCTGATCTATTTTGTTTCCTCACCTGATCTATTTTGTTTTCCTCACCTGATCTATTTTGTTTCCTCACCTGATCTATTTCGTTTTCCTCGCCTGATCAATTTTGTTTCCTCACCTGATCTATTTTGTTTCTTCACCTGATCTATTTTGTTTTCCTCGTCTGATCTATTTTGTTTCCTCTTCTGATCTATTCAGTTTCCTCACATAATCTATTTTGTTTTCCTCTTCTGATCTATTTTGTTTTCCTCTTCTGATCTATTTTGTTTTCCTCGCCTGATCTATTTTGTTTCCTCTTCTGATCTATTTTGTTTCCTCACGTTATATAATTTGTTTCCTCTTCTGATCTATTTTGTTTTCCTCGCCTGATCTATTTTGTTTCCTCACCTGATCTATTTTGTTTCTTCACCTGATCTATTTTGTTTTCCTCGCCTGATCTATTTTGTTTCTTCGCCTGATCTATTTTGTTTTCCTCGCCTGACCTATTTTGTTTCTTCACCTGATCAGTTTTGTTTCTTCACCTGATCTATTTTGTTTTCCTCGCCTGATCTATTTTGTTTCCTCACCTGATCTAATTTGTTTCCTCTTCTGATCTATTTTGTTTCCTCACCTGATCTAATTTGTTTCTTGACCTGATCTATTTTGTTTTCCTCGCCTGATCTATTTTGTTTCCTCTTCTGATCTATTTTGTTTCTTCACCTGATCTATTTTGTTTTCCTCGCCTGATCTATTTTGTTTCCTCACCTGATCTATTTTGTTTCTTCACCTGATCTATTTTGTTTTCCTCGTCTGATCTATTTTGTTTCCTCTTCTGATCTATTCAGTTTCCTCACATAATCTATTTTGTTTTCCTCTTCTGATCTATTTTGTTTTCCTCTTCTGATCTATTTTGTTTTCCTCGCCTGATCTATTTTGTTTCCTCTTCTGATCTATTTTGTTTCCTCACGTTATATAATTTGTTTCCTCTTCTGATCTATTTTGTTTTCCTCGCCTGATCTATTTTGTTTCCTCACCTGATCTATTTTGTTTCTTCACCTGATCTATTTTGTTTTCCTCGCCTGATCTATTTTGTTTCTTCGCCTGATCTATTTTGTTTTCCTCGCCTGACCTATTTTGTTTCTTCACCTGATCAGTTTTGTTTCTTCACCTGATCTATTTTGTTTTTCCTGCCTGATCTATTTTTGTTTCCTCACCTGATCTAATTTGTTTCCTCTTCTGATCTATATTTTGTTTCCTCACCTGATCTAATTTGTTTCTTGACCTGATCTATTTTGTTTTCCTCGCCTGATCTATTTTGTTTCCTCTTCTGATCTATTTTGTTTCTTCACCTGATCTATTTTGTTTTCCTCGCCTGATCTATTTTGTTTCCTCACCTGATCTATTTTGTTTCTTCAACTGATCTATTTTGTTTTCCTCGTCTGATCTATTTTGTTTCCTCTTCTGATCTATTCAGTTTCCTCACCTAATCTATTTTGTTTTCCTCGCCTGATATATTTTGTTTTCCTCTTCTGATCTATTTTGTTTTCCTCGCCTGATCTATTTTGTTTCTTCTTCTGATCTATTTTGTTTCCTCACCTTATCTAATTTGTTTCCTCTTCTGATCTATTTTGTTTCCTCACCTGATCTATTTTGTTTCCTCTCCTGGTCTATTTTGTTTCCTCGCCTGATCTATTTTGTTTCTTCACCTGATCTATTTTGTTTCCCTCGCCTGATCTATTTTGTTTCCTCACCTGATCTATTTTGTTTCTTCACCTGATCTATTTTGTTTTCCTCGTCAGATCTATTTTGTTTCCTCTTCTGATCTATTCAGTTTCCTCACCTAATCTATTTTGTTTTCCTCTCCTGGTCTATTTTGTTTCCTCGCCTGATCTATTTTATTTTCCTCGCCTGATCTATTTTGTTTCTTCTTTTGATCTATTTTGTTTCCTCACCTTATCTGATTTGTTTCCTCTTCTGATCTATTTTGTTTCCTCACCTGATCTATTCTGTTTTCCTCTCCTGGTCTATTTTGTTTCCTCGCCTGATCTATTTTGTTTCTTCACCTGATCTATTTTGTTTCCTATTCTGATCTATTTTGTTTCCTCATCTAATCTATTTTGTTTTCCTCTTCTGATCTATTTTGTTTCCTCACCTGATCTAATTTGTTTCCTCTTCTGATCTATTTTGTTTCCTCTTCTGATCTATTTTGTTTCTTCACCTGATCTATTTTGTTTTCCTTTTCTGATCTATTTTGTTTCCTCTTCTGATCTATTTTGTTTCCTCACCTGATCTATTTTGTTTCCTCGCCTGATCTATTTTGTTTTCCTCGCCTGATCTATTTTGTTTCCTCACCTGATCTATTTTGTTTCCTCTTCTGATCTATTCATTTTCCTCACCTAATCTATTTTGTTTTCCTCTTCTGATCTATTTTGTTTCCTCACCTAATCTATTTTGTTTTTCTTCTGACCTATTTTGATCACCTGATCTATTTTGTTTTACTCGCCTGATCTATTTTGTTTCCTCTTCTGATTATTTTTTTTCCTTATCTAATTTGCCTTTTGATCTATTTTGTTTCCTCACCTGATCTATTTTGTTTCCTCTCCTGGTTATTTTGTTTCCGCCTGATCTATTTTGTTTCCTCTTCTGATCTATTTTGTTTCCTCAGCTGATCAAATTTGTTTCCTCTTCTGATCTATTTTGTTTCTCACCTGATCTATTTTGTTTTTCTTCGCCTGATCTATTTTGTTTCTGGTCTATTTTTGTTTTCCTCGCCTGATCTATTTTGTTTCCTCACCTGATTTATTTTTGTTTCCTCTTCTGATCTATTCAGTTTCCTCACCTAATCTATTTTGTTTTCCTCTTCTGATATATTTTGTTTCCTCACCTGATCTATTTTGTTTTCCTCTTCTGATCTATTTTGTTTCCTCACCTGATCTAATTTGTTTCCTCTTCTGATCTAATTTGTTTCCTCTTCTGATCTATTTTGTTTCCTCTTCTGATCTATTTTGTTTCCTCGTCTGATCTACTTTGTTTCCTCTTCTGATCTATTTTGTTTCCTCACCTGATCTAATTTGTTTCCTCTTCTGATCTATTTTGTTTCCTCACCTGATCTATTTTGTTTTCCTCGCCTGATATATTTTGTTTCCTCTTCTGATCTATTTTGTTTCCTCACCTTATCTATTTTGTTTCCTCTTCTGATCTATTCAGTTTCCTCACCTAATCTATTTTGTTTTCCTCTTCTGATCTATTTTGTTTCCTCACCTGATCTAATTTGTTTCCTCTTCTGATCTATTTTGTTTCCTCTTCTGATCTATTTTGTTTACTCACCTGATCTATTTTGTTTTCCTCGCCTGATCTATTTTGTTTCCTCTTCTGATCTATTTTGTTTCCTCACCTGATCTATTTTGTTTCCTCGCCTGATCTATTTTGTTTTCCTCGCCTGATCTATTTTGTTTCCTCACCTGATCTATTTTGTTTCCTCTTCTGATCTATTCAGTTTCCTCACCTAATCTATTTTGTTTTCCTCTTCTGATCTATTTTGTTTCCTCACCTGATCTAATTTGTTTCCTCTTCTGATCTATTTTGTTTCCTCACCTTATCTAATTTGTTTCCTCTTCTGATCTATTTTGTTTCCTCACCTGATCTATTTTGTTTCCTCTTCTGATCTATTCAGTTTCCTCACCTGATCTATTTTGTTTCTTCGTCTGAACTATTTTGTTTCCTCACCTGATCTATTTTGTTTCCTCGCCTGATCTATTCTGTTTTCCTCGCCTGATCCTTTTTGTTTCCTCTTCTGATCTATTCAGTTTCCTCACCTAATCTATTTTGTTTTCCTCTTCTGATCTATTTTGTTTCCTCACCTAATCTATTTTGTTTCCTCACCTTATCTAATTTGTTTCCTCTTCTGATCTATTTTGTTTCCTCACCTGATCTAATTTGTTTCCTCTTCTGATCTATTTTGTTTCCTCTTCTGATCTATTTTGTTTACTCACCTGATCTATTTTGTTTTCCTCGCCTGATCTATTTTGTTTCCTCTTCTGATCTATTTTGTTTCCTCGCCTGATCTACTTTGTTTCCTCTTCTGATCTATTTTGTTTCCTCACCTGATCTAATTTGTTTCCTCTTCTGATCTATTTTGTTTCCTCACCTGATCTATTTTGTTTTCCTCGCCTGATATATTTTGTTTCCTCTTCTGATCTATTTTGTCTCCTCACCTTATCTATTTTGTTTCCTCTTTTGATCTATACAGTTTCCTCACCTAATCTATTTTGTTTTCCTCTTCTGATCTATTTTGTTTCCTCACCTGATCTAATTTGTTTCCTCTTCTGATCTATTTTGTTTCCTCACCTTATCTAATTTGTTTCCTCTTCTGATCTATTTTGTTTCCTCACCTGATCTATTTTGTTTCCTCTTCTGATCTATTTTGTTTCCTCACCTCATCTATTTTGTTTCTTCGTCTGATCTATTTTGTTTCTTCACCTGATCTATTTTGTTTCCTCACCTGATCTATTCTGTTTTCCTCGCCTGATCTTTTTTGTGTCCTCTTCTGATCTATTCAGTTTCCTCACCTAATCTATTTTGTTTTCCTCTTCTGATCTATTTTGTTTCCTCACCTAATCTATTTTGTTTTCCTCTTCTGATCTATTTTGTTTCCTCACCTGATCTAATTTGTTTCCTCTTCTGATCTATTTTGTTTCCTCTTCTGATCTATTTTGTTTACTCACCTTATCTAATTTGTTTCCTCTTCTGATCTATTTTGTTTCCTCACCTGATCTATTTTGTTTCTTCGTCTGATCTATTTTGTTGCTTCACCTGATCTATTTTGTTTCCTCACCTGATCTATTCTGTTTTCCTCGCCTGATCTTTTTTGTTTCCTCTTCTGATCTATTCAGTTTCCTCACCTAATCTATTTTGTTTTCCTCTTCTGATCTATTTTGTTTCCTCACCTAATCTATTTTGTTTTCCTCTTCTGATCTATTTTGTTTCCTCACCTGATCTAATTTGTTTCCTCTTCTGATCTATTTTGTTTCCTCTTCTGATCTATTTTGTTTACTCACCTTATCTAATTTGTTTCCTCTTCTGATCTATTTTGTTTCCTCGCCTGATCTATTTTGTTTCCTCTTCTGATCTATTTTGTTTTCCTCGCCTGATCTATTTTGTTTCCTCTGATCTATTTTGTTTCTTCACCTGATCTATTTTGTTTCTCTCCTGATCTATTTTGTTTTCCTCACCTGATCTATTTGTTTCCTTTTCTTTATTCAGTCCTCACCTGATCTATTTTGTTTTCCTCTTCTGATCTATTCAGTTTCCTCACCTAATCTATTTTGTTTTCTCTTCTGATCTATTTGTTTCCTCACCTGATCTAATTTGTTTCCTCTTCTGATCTATTTTGTTTCCTCACCTGATCTATTTGTTTCTCTTTCTGATATATTTTGATCTCGCTTTATTTTGTTTTCCTCGCCTTGATCTATTTTGTTTTCTCTTCTGATCTATTTTTGTTTCCTCACCTGATCATTTTGTTTTCTCTTCTGATCTATTTTGTTTCCTCACCTGATCTATTTTTTTTTCCTCACCTGATTCATTTTGTTTTTCACCTGATCTATTTTGTTTCCTCTTCTGATCTATTTTGTTTCCTCACCTAATCTATTTTGTTTTCCTCTTCTGATCTATTTTGTTTCCTCACCTGATCTATTTGTTTTTTGATCTATTTTCTCTTCTGATCTATTTTGTTTCCTCACCTGATCTAATTTTTTTCCTCTTCTGATCTATTTTGTTTCCTCGCCTGATCTATTTTGTTTCCTCTTCTGATCTATTTTGTTTCCTCACCTGATCTATTTTGTTTCTTCTTCTGATCTATTTTGTTTCCCTCACCTGATCTATTTTGTTTCCTCACCTGATCTATTTTGTTTCCTTCTGATCTATTTTGTTTCCTCTTCTGATCTATTTTTGTTTCCTCTTCTGATCTATTTTGTTTTCCTTCTGATCTATATTTTGTTTCCTCTCCTGGTCTATTTTGTTTCCTCGCCTGATCTGTTTTGTTTCCTCTTCTGATCTATTTTGTTTCCTCACCTGATCTATTTTGTTTCCTCTTCTGATCTATTTTGTTTCCTCACCTGATCTATTTTGTTTCCTCACCTGATCTATTTTGTTTCCTCACCTGATCTATTTTGTTTTCCTCACCTAATCTATTTTGTTTTCCTCTTCTGATCTATTTTGTTTCCTCACCTTATCTAATTTGTTTCCTCTTCTGATCTATTTTGTTTCCTCGCCTGATCTATTTTGTTTTTTCATTTTGTTTTTCACCTGATCTATTTTGTTTCCTCTTCTGATCTATTTTGTTTGTTTCCTATTTCTGATTTATATTTTGTTTCCTCACCTGATCTATTTTGTTTTCCTCACCTGATCTATTTTATTTTTCCTCTTCTGATCTATTTTGTTTCCTCACCTGATCTATTTTGTTTTCCACCTGATCTATTTTGTTTCCTCACCTGATCTATTTTGTTTCTCTTCTGATCTATTTTGTTTCCTCACCTGATCTATTTTGTTTTTCCTCTTCTGATCTATATTTTGTTTCCTCACCTGATCTATTTTGTTTCCTGATCTAATCTTCTGATCTATTTTGTTTCCTGATTCGCCTGATCTGTTTTGTTTCCTCTTCTGATCTATTTTTTTTTCCTGATCTATTTTATTTCTATTTTGATCTATTTTGTTTCTTCTGATCTATTTTGTTTCTTCACCTGATCTTTATTTTGTTTCCTCACCTGATCTATTTTGTTTTCCCTGCCTGATCTTTTTTTGTTTCCTCTTCTGATCTATTTTGTTTCCTCACCAATCTATTTTGTTTTTCTCTGATCTATTTTGTTTCCTCACCTAATCTATTTTGTTTTCTTCTGATCTATTTTTGTTTCCTCACCTGATCTATTTTGTTTCTCTCCTGATCTATTTTGTTTCCTCTTCTGATCTATTTTGTTTTCCTTTATCTTTATCTATTTTGTTTCCTCGCCTGATCTATTTTGTTTTCCTCACCTGATCTATTTTTTTTTCTCTGATCTATTTTTTTTCCTCAC